AGCATTACTCATGCACTGCATAAGGCTTTGGGGGGTAAAATGGCTTGAATTTAACTCTAAGATGTGTTAAACAAGTACTTGTGGTGCACTTTCCCTCAGGCCTGCTGACATTAAGTGAAAGGGTCGGATTGTTGTGTAAGATATTTAGATATGTTTTGTTTTCTTTACTTTTGATATATCATTTTTAATGCTTTCAAAATGAGGAATTCTGTTTTTTCTTTAACTCTTTTTATTTCTCTTTTTTTTTCTTCATTAATTCTTTTTTTAATTTTTACTAGTTTGCTTAATTTAATATTGAGTGGAATCTTCTGCCTCCAAGCTATTTATTAGCTACAATTTGTGCAAATTTTGTAGACTATTTAGTGCATGTTAAAATAATTGATTTTAGCTGATGTAAATGTGTACTGACTGGTATGTATGTATTTATGTGTTGTTTTTTGTTGTTGTTTTTTTAAAGAACAAAATTGTGAATTCAAAATATTTTTTAGATGAAAATAGCTTAACCCCTTCAGGACGGAGTCAATAGTGCACGCTCTGATCAAAACAAAACCTAAACAAAAACTGGAATTTGTGCTATATGTCTGTTCAACCGTAATTTTATGGCAGGACAGGAGGCTTCATATTTGCTTTACCTTCTTTACTGAAACCTCCAGCAGCAAAGAAACAGTTAACAGAACTTTTCAAAACAACCAATCAGAACAAAGCAACAGTAGTATAAAACCCCTAAGCAGGCTCTTCCACTTCCTCTTTCTTTGCTGCTGCCTCCAGGTGAGCACTCACCAACTCAGAGTTGTCTTTGCTCTTGGTTGTTGTTTTTTTAATTTATTTTTTATCCTACGTGCTGCTTGTTTATTTAAACAGTCTATTTAATCAGTCTATTTGCTAGGTTTGTTTAGGCAGCTTAATTGCTGGACTTATTTAGGCAGGGTTCTTGCTGGATTTGTTTTAACAGTTTGTCTGCTGTGTTTATCTAGCCAGTCTATTGCTGGGTTTACCTAGGCAGTTTATTCTGTGTTATTTCCTATACCACTTAATACTATGTAGCTGCATTATCTTTTGTTAACATCTGTTGCTGTATTTAGGCTATTTATCTGATAGATTCTGGATACTGCTCATTGATTTATTGTTATTCTGGGTTACTTTATGCAGTTTTTTTCTTACTCTGCTGTATGGGGAATGGGTGCCCCTGCTATGATGCTTTAGCTCTGCCTGTAATATGTTTCCCCTCCCCAGGTTCCCCTGCTGGGCTCTGTCGCCCATACCCTTTCTCCCTTATTCCCCACCTGCTCCCCGCAGCCCCTGGCCGCTTGCTGAGCAGCTTTTTCAACAGTGGCAGTGCCACACGATCACCACGCGGTAGACCGCGCTCGTTTTTTGCGGCTGCGGCGGCCATTTTGTTGGAGCCGCGGTGGCCATTTTTCGGAGCCGCATGTGCTCTGTGCGTTGCGAACAGCCTGGTCTCACACACCAAACTGGCCTGCTGTGGCCACCCTCCCCTCTCCCTATATCAGGGGAGATAGACCAGTTTTTCAGATATCCCCCTACTTACTGTGCCTGTCTCACATGCTGCATATGTAACAGATCCTGGATAGCAGGATCTGTCCCAGGCACTCTCTCAACTCACAACTGCAGCTTACTATGATGTCTGATGCAATGTGACTATGTTCTCTATCTTAGCAGTAGACTTGTCACGCTTTTTTTACTAATTAAATGTGAATCTCAGATTTAAAGGGGCATGTTACTGCTCAAATAAAAAATCATTGTTTAACAAGACTATGCCACATGTGATATATGCTAATCAAGTCTTTCTCTTAAGGTTCAGTCATTTTCTCAAAAATTTTAAATGGCCTGTTTTTCAGCACCTAGCTCCCCTGCCTAGGATTTGCTGCCCTTCCTGCAAGGGACTTAAATTTTTCCACTATACATACACTTCAAAAGTATATCCTAATATAATACCTGAGTGGTCTGTAGATGTGAGTCAGCCTCTAGCTGTATGGACCCTTCTACCCCTCAGGGGGGCTACCTGGCCCCACATACAGCCCTGTTATTACAGGGGGTGACCCCCCCACCCCCGTCCATATTTCTGGGGCTCTACCCGATACTGGAACATAATAATGGACGTGTGACACCATTGTGGGCTCGGTGACCCCCTCCCTCTGGCAACATGGCTACCAATGAGTACTCTGGCTGGCTCTACAGCATCCTGTAGGATTAATGCTGAGGGTGACCCCCTCCTGCTTCCTACACTAATGCTCCGGCAATGTCCTGTTATTATCATACCGAGGGGGAACCCCCTCCTACAGTCTGCACTGCTGGACCTGCAGCGTCCGGGTATTCCCATTAAAGAGGATACCCCTCGCACTGATTGAGCTTCTGTTCTTACAGTGCCCTGCTATACGCAGATACTGAGGGTGACCCCCTCCTGTGGACTACTCTGCTGGACCTACAGGGTCCCGTTATAACCATAATGAGGGTGACCCCCTCTCGCAGACTACACTACTGGGTGTACAGACCTCTATGATACCACACTGAGGGTGACCCCCCTCTTACGTACAGCACTGCTGGATCTGCAATGCCCGGTTATGGTTATATGAGGGTGACCCCCACCTGCCCTCAGCACTGCTGGACCGGCAATGTCTGGTTACTTTATTATACGGCTAACCACTATGGCACTACTGTACCTACAGTGTCCAATTATGTTCAGACTGAGGGTGACCCCTGCTGGCCTATACTGCATGGTATGCTTGTGCTTGTTGGGTGACCCCCTCTTGCACGCTGGGTGACCACCAGGTATCACTCCGACAGTGTTACCTCTATGGCAGTTATGCAATCACGACTGAAGGACAAATCTCCCGTACCCAGAAGGTCACTTGGCCTGTCCTCATGCCGCCCTGCTGACCTCACTGCCAGAAACCATCAGTACCCTACAGGGGATACTCCACCGGCCATCCTAGACACTACACCAAGCACCCCTGGTACTAGTTGGCTAACGGATGGATTCATCAAGAGGATCAGCCTTCATGACGGAGTCCGGAAAGGACACCGCAAACACCTGACACAGGGTTTGCACTCTTTCCGGGACTTACCACTGGATGTCGATGACACGCGGACACAGATGTTTCCTCGAGACGAATGGCGCGTTACAGCTTGGAAAGCGGAGAAGACTAAATTCCCATTGGGAATGGACCGATATGACTTATAGGTATCGCTTAGTTGGTTTGAGAAATGCAAAAAGGCCCCTGTCCAAGCTGGACATCAAACTGACGGATTTGGCATCCAAGTGCTGGGTCTTCTCTCCGGAGTTACCCTCACGTACAAATTGAGCTGACACGTCTCTATTCATAGGGTTCCCCCTTAACTAGCCCCAGAGGTCTCTCGGACCGTGCCCGGACTCAGGGTCAAGGTTGCGGAACCTTGGACCGTTCCATGAGCGATATGCATGACCAAAAGAGGCGTCCATTCCGAAGTTGCCCTGCTGGGCGAAGGATGCGGTGGACTGGACTCCCGCCCAATCCCCCACGCTACATGCTCCCAGTGCATATGTCGCCTGTTGACACTTCAAGATGGAGGGCACTCATCCCCTCCGAGCTGCTCGGCGTGGATGATTGGTTCTCATAAGGGAAACCCGCATGGCTTTCGCCATCAACATGGACATATTGAATCTGACTCACTCCCAGTCAACCCAGTTTCTGGTCTTTCATGGAATATTCGGTCCAGGCGGTGCTCTGCCTCCCGAGGACCAAGATGTCCGTCTTCAAGGATAATACCAGGCATATGATCTGCAACCCACGGGTCATACTTAGGGGCCCAACCCGGTCAATTGACTGGTTGTTATTCGCCATGGAGGCCATACCTCCAGGATCCGGTACTATCAGCCGCTCCAACATGACGCTTTCTCGGGTCTTCGGCCTGGTATGACCGAATCATGTGACCTTCGGATGAAGCTCATCTAAAACTTAATTGATGACTCCAGCATAGGGGGACCTGGCCTACATAGGCGTTTCGGACCCCAACCAATATCGGCCTGGACCCTGGAGTCCGGAGGAGGGACCTCTTCATGCCAACTGCATGGAACTACCTGCAGGTTTGTTCACAATTCGCAGCTTCCCCAGGGGAAGTAGTATTGCTCGCTACCTTCCGGCATGGACTTATCACCGGTTGCCCACTACGGACTGCAGTCAGATCTCACGTAGGCTCGCTATCTATAGCTTCTGGACAAGTATTCATCATTTGTGACAGAATGTCTGCGGGACGAGACACTCATGTGGCGGATGGCTTCACCCGACCATGGAGAGCCCCACTGATTGGTTGCCTCACCCTCCGGGGTCTCGAGTACTGGCATGATTACATTCGGTGCGAACCGCCATATGGAGAGGTTCTCCAGCTGGCTGCCGGACCTTCAGCGAGGCGAGGGACGCGTTTTCAAAACTTGGTCTCCTTCTGGACGTAAGCATCCCGTTTACCTACAGGATACTTTGTGCTTTGCTTCAGACCGAATTCCTGGAAGTGTTGTTTCGCCTGGCCACACCACTTTGGAGGAGTCCTCCATGCTTTCCCCTTTTTGCTGGAGTTTGCCATAGGAAGGCAATCTACGACTCCCTGTCTCTTAATGTCCCGTGTGGGATCCACAGGGGTAGCCTGCCACGACTGGTGTCTGGAGAGATGTTTGGGTCCCTATGGCGGTCCTTATCATGGCTGTCCCCATTGTCTGGCTGAGTTGCCCTCTCAGGGTAGGATCGTATGGGGCCATTCACGTCCTATGTCAGCTAGTGGACGACTCATGTGCGTTTTCTCAAGATTCTGGCATTGCTAAGGATCTCTTGGTCTGCAGTCTACCAAGAGGAGTATACCATACGGGAGCCCTATCTCTCGCTATTCCTCAATTCTAGTGGTATCGTGTGTTCTGCATTTCCTTGAGGAATGACCTGATGACAAGGACTTGCGCCAGTTTTTTCCGCTTACGGTTTTCCCCAGTACATCTTGTATTTCATCGCGTTCTGACGTCATGGTATCGCCGTGTCTTCTTCCTTCTTGCCGTTCAGTACATCGGCTTCTGCTCCACACATTTCATTTCTATTCATCCTCTGTGTCGTACCCCTATTCTCCGGATAGGCCACGGCTCTGGACAGGTTGTACACGACCATGTAGATCCAGGATCTGGTTCTTTCGTCCGTCTACTCATGGACAGCTGTTTATTTCTGCGTACAGCCGTTTTGGACTGTTTCTGCATCTTCGCTCGCCCGTTGGATTTGGTGGACCCTCTCATTGGCTGACCTTGAGTTTCTCTGGGACACTTTTGGTTCAGGGTGCTGTCACCTCAACAACTTTGGAAGCCGTTGGGTCCCTTCTGCATTTTCTCTACACCGCTGCTTGGTTTAGGGAATCAGTTTTTCCATTCTCCTTTATTTCAGTCCTCTATCTCATATTGCTTCTGGTTCTACTATTTGGGCGTTAAAATTGCAAATATGAAGCCTCCTGTCCTGCCATAAAACTAGGGATTATTCTAGCCTCGGTGAGAGAATAATCTAAATTTTTATTTGTCTGACATTTTAACTGACTGTCATAATACTGTTAAGTTGTACTGAACAAAAATGCACATTTGTAATCAGCGATGTCTCATTGTAATTTTTTTCTGTGTACTTAATTATGCTATTTTACAAGTATACGTGATACTAATTTGTCCCTAATATCTCTAAATATTGTTGTAATACTTATCATGTATTCTTATTTTTTTATTATTATTATTAAGAAACATCTGTATTATGAAGGCAATTAACATAACCATGGGAAATCACCATACTATTCAATATTATTCATTAATTTCCCTGGAGATATTAAATGTGGTGACACTTGGGGATTCAAGCTTTTCATATATACTGAAGCTGTCAATATGAACTATGCGACTTGGAGGCGATGTAATAATTACAGTGCTATTTCCTGATGCTTCTATTTTCAGAAATGTAAGTACATTTTTTTTCTTTTACTCTTGTGGAATTTGCTAAATAATTTGTTAGGACTCCATAAATGATTTTGCTTTAGGTACAATTAAACAATAAAATAATATAAGGTATTATTAAATATATTAAAGTATATTATTAGCATTAATACACCACCAAAATACTCCACCCTAGCCAAGATGCTTCAATGCATTACTGATTTACTCACATAACAAGTTTAATGATACTTAAGATAATTTTTACAATAATTTCAAAGCTCTGACATTTTTTGTACATTTTTGGATCATTACAACACATTGAGATCTACATGTAAGTACTGGGTAATAACACCTTTTTATGAAACATTATTGAACTATTAAATTGTAGTGACAACCACTTTGTAAATTGTATGCTAATTTTTTTTTTTTTTATTTTTTTTTTTTAATACACCTCAGAATGTTTGCATACTGAATTGGATACTATTTGATACATTTTATGTTTTGTTTTTTTCAGTATTACTACTATACTACCAGTATATGATGTTGATGGAAAATCAAACATTACATACAGATTTTTATATTATATTGTTTTCAACTACTGTTGGGAAGCACATTTTTCTGTTTGTATTATTTGGGTTTTTATACTTGGTCTGTGTTCTATGGAATATGATAATAGTTATCATGATCTACGTTGATCCCCACTTACACATTCCCATGTACTTTTTTCTATGCAACTTGTCATTTATTGATGTGTTGTACAGCTCGGTGACACTGCCTAAACTAATGGACATATTACTCTCTGGCAACAATAGAGTTTCATTCACTGCCTGCTTTGCTCAGTTGTATTTCTTTACATCCATGGCTTGTACAGAAATCCTCCTGCTAACTGCAATGGCATTTGATCGTTATGTTGCTATCTGTAACCCTTTACATTATACCATGCTTATGAAGAAGAGAAACTGTATTCTACTTGTAGCAAGCAGTTGGGTTGCTGGTTATTCAAATTCACTCTTTGTTACAATATTTGCATCATATCTATCTTTCTGTGGCTCTAAAAACATTAACCAGCTATTTTGTGACATCAAGGCGCTTACGAAGATTTCTTGTGGTGACACTGATGGATTCCAAGCCATGATATTCATTGAAGCTATTATAATGGGACTATGTCCTTTCTTACTCATTTTAATGTCGTATGCTAAAATATTATCAAACATTCGAAAGATTAGCATGACAAAGAAAAGAAATAAAACATTTTCAACCTGCACATCTCATCTCACCGTCCTTCTCTTGTTCTATGGCACTCTCCTCTTTATGTATATGAGCCCACCATCAGAAAACTCTGAGTACTTGGACCACATCTTCTCAGTGTTCTATCTAGCAGTGACTCCCATGTTAAATCCTTTGATATACAGCTTGCGGAACAAAGAAATAAAAAATGCTTTGGTGAAGATAATAACATGTTAAAGAACAGTAAAATGCATTCCAAATGTAAATATTCAGAATAATTAATTCTCAATAAATTTTAAGGGGGGTCAAAATGTAATTATGAATTAAACCAAACACAAACTTTGTATTATGAATTAAACCCAAGGGCAGAGTATAGAGTATTTGATAACCTACTAACCTCAACATCTGTGGAAAGGGATTTATGAGTAATTATTTCAGATGACTTAAAGGCAGGCAGACAATGTAATAGAGCAACTTGAAATGCTAGCAGAATGCTTGATTGTATAGGGAGAGGTATTAGCAGTAGAAAGAGAGAAGTGCTCATACCATTGTACAGAACACTGGTGAGACCTCACTTGGCGTACTGTACGCAGTACTGGCGCCCGTATTTTCAGAATGATATTGATACTTTGGAAAGAGTTCAGAGAAGGGCTACTAAACTGGTTCATGGATTGCAGGATAAATCTTACCAGGAAAGGTTAAAGGATCTTAACAAGTATAGCTTGGAGGAAAGACGAGACAGGGGGAGATGATAGAAAAATTTAAATGCGTAAAGGGAATCAACACAGTAAGGGAGGAGATATATTTAAAAGAAGGAAAACTACCACAAAAATAGGACTTAGTCTTAAATTAGAGGGGCAGAGGTTTAAAAATCATTTCAAGAAATATTACTTTACAGAGAGGGTAATGGACACATGGAATAGCCTTCCAGCTGAAGTGGTAGAGGTTAACACAGTGAGGGAGTTTAAGCATGCATTGGATAGGCTAAGGCTATCCTAGACTGAAGATAAGGCCAGGGACTAATTAAAGTATTTTGAAAA